TTCTCTCTGGCTCCTCTGAATCCCTTTTCATCTCAGAAGCTTTTGACACACCTCTGCTGTCTGTTCCATCAAGAGAGTTGTTGTAGTAAAGGTCATTAAATATGAAATGTCTGATTTCAAATCAAAAGTGTAGTTTATTATATCTCAAACAAGAACCGGTACCATTAATCAAAGTATGCGCCTGAACTATCGACACGGTTTTGCCATCTTAACGGTAGGCTGTTTGTGCCAGCAGCAAAGAAGCCTGGAGAGCAAATGGCGATGAAATCTTGAAAGGCACTTTCCACAGCTTGTTGAGAATTGAATATTTTTCCTCACAAGAAGGGGTCCAAAGCCTGGTAGAAGTGGTAGTCAGTTGGCGCAAGGTCTGGTGAATACGGTGGATGACAGAGAGTTTCCAAGTCCAGCTTCTGTAGTCTGAGCAGCGTTGTTTGTGCGACATGTGGTCTAGCGTTGTCTTGCAAGAGGATTGGCCTGTCTCTAGTGACCAGTCTCAGCTGCTTAATCACAAGCATCCTCATCATTTCATCCAGTTGGTTGCAGTGGACATCCGCTGTAATTGACTGACCAGGTTTCATGAAGCTGTAGTGGATAATACCAGTGCTGGACCACCAAACAGACACCAGTAGCTTTTTTTGATGAATATTTGGATTTGGACTGTGTTTCAGCACTTCACCTTTATCCAACCATTTTGTCGAACACTTGCGATTATCAAAAAGAATCCATTTTTCATCACACATCACAATACGGTGAAGAAATGGTTCACCTTTATGTCGTCGCAGCAAAGAAAGGCAAGCTTTGAGACAATTTCTCTTCTGATGCTCATTTAATTCATGCGGAATCCATCCATCCAGCTTCTTTACCTGCCCATTTGTTTCAAATGGTCCAATATTGTTGCAATAGTAACGTTAAACCGTGAGACTAATTCATGTGTGGGTTGAGATGGATCCACTTCCACTACAGCTTTCAGCTCATCATTGTCCACCTTGGTCTCAGGTTGCCCACGTGGCTCATTTTCAACATGAAATTCACCAGAATGGAACTTCTCGAACCATCGATGTGCGTTCATTAGCCACATCCTTCCCAAACACTTCATTAGTTCAAGCTGTGTGTGCTGCATTGGTTCCATGATGGAACTCATATTTGAAAATAACATGAATTTTTTACTTATCCATGCTTTCACAAAAATTGATCTAAAATTTTTTTTGAAAGATAATCACAAGCCAAACCATGCATTTGAAAAAATGAGGATGTACCTTCACAATAAAAATAAAACAAGAAGTGTCAAAGTGAAATGTCAGAGATATCAACTGTCTAACCTAGTACTTAAGGAAATCAGACAACATCATACTTAATAAGCAAAATAGCATTTCTTTCTTTCTTTTTCTCTTTTTTTTTTTTTTTCTGAGGGAGGGTCTGCCTCTGTCACCCAGTCTGGAATGCAGTGGCAGGGTTGTAGCTCACTGCAACCTCGACCTCCTGGGCTCAAGTGATCCTCCTGCTTCAGCCTCCTGAGTAGCTGAGACTTAGGTGTGCATCACCACACCCGGCTTTTTTTTTTTTTTTGTAGAGATGGGGTCTCACTGTTGCCCAGGCTGGTCTCTAACTCCTGGCCTCAAGCGATCCTCCCAGAGTGCTAGGATTACAGGCGTGAGTTCCCCCCCGCTACCCCCCCCCCACCGCCGGCCAAGCATTTCTTTAAAAGGTGCTCTGCCAGCATCCTCAGGAGTCACTCCATGCCACTGACACCCATATGTGGGCAATACCCAAACAGCATCACTGACACCTTGGCAAAGGTGATTGTCATATGCGTCCCACTTTCAATGAAATATGAAAAAACGTGCACCTAGTAAGCAAGATGTGGGATGTATTTTTCCTGAAAAACCACATGGGGAAATGATAAATTTGGCCCAAGTAAGTCACAGAAAGCAAGAGCGAGGTGCCACTTTAGCCAGGCGCTAATGGGTTGAAGGAGCTTGCCGGTGGAGCAGAGGAGAGGAGAGAAGCCGCCTCAGCGGAAGCATCGGCGTCACATGCGGACCAGGCCGGAGCCCGGGTGTTCCGAGCCGAGTCCGGGAGCAGCTGCCTGTGGCTGGGAATGGGCCGCACGACCCGGGCGCTGGCGGCTCCCACTGCGAACCCGAAACTGCATCCTCCAGGCAAAGAACCTTCCAGCAGATCCTAAGGAACAGAGGGACGTGACGGGCTCTCGGGCCATCTGGAGAGCAGACTGGTGGCGGGAACAGGTGCGAGGGGCCCGCCCTGCAGCACACTCCTGCGGGAGCGGCGGTTCTGAGGGTCGGGTCCACGGACCAAAGCCAAATAGTGGAAAGGCTGTTTGGTTTCCATCAGGTGCCTGAGAAGGAAAACATGGGGCTGAAGACAGAATGAAAGAAACAGCAAAGATTACAGGAACAGGAAGAGAGTGACAGAGAAAGGGGCGAGCGCGAGCAAGCGGCCGAGGTGCAGCTCCGAGGGGCGGGCGGGACTGGCGGGGACACAGGCCGGAGACGGATCAAGTCCGTGGCCCGAGGGACGCCCCACCAGACGCCTGTTCTCGGCTCCGGCTGCTCCATCGTCCGGGCTCAGTCTCTCAGGTTCTGGGGGCTAAAAACCCGGCGTCACTGCAGCTTTCTAATGAAACACACGGGATGTACCAGTGGAGGGGTGACCCCGGCCCCGCCTGGTTTTACTCCGTTGGCCCTGCCCTCTCTTAACAAACTCATACATGGGGAATAAGCTTCGTCCAGGAAAGTCTGTATTTTTGGATATAAACATATAACATCTGTAAACCTCACTACTGTGACACAAAACCCAGGAAAATAAGCCACAAAGTTAACATTAGCCCTACAGCAGAAGGAAAACAAAAGTTTCCAATCTGAGAGTTGAGAATCACAATCCGAAGAGGGCATTACAATCAACCGTTTCTCACCTCTGGAAGCCTCACTTCACGTTTACATTTCGACAGCAGCGCTCAAAGAAACAGTTCACTTTTTCAGACTCTAATTCGGAGCAGAACTGTTCTGGTGCCACAAGAAGTGTCTGATATGACCCCCAGGGAGAGCGAGGGGAACTGCGCTCACTCGGTCCTGTGTGAGTGGGAGCCGGCCCTCCCGGCCCGGCCAGCCGTGCTGGGGCACATGTGCCACACTGGCAGCCTCCCGCGTCCCGACACCCATGTGCCCAGGAGTCCACGAGGAGTGGACCTGCTGGAGCGACCCAATTGCGCGCAGCATAAGAATGTTCTGGTCGACGTGGGAAGAACGCAAGACTCCACCCAGAATGCTTTCTGACTCCTGCCTCGTGACAGGTCTACCGAGAACACTGAAGTCAAGAAGGCTCAAACATTGCCCTGGAACAGGCCGTCAGCAATGACTGGAACAACTTTGCAATTATTCTGAATAAACTAATAGCAGAGGTAGGAAAGGGCCTTGGGCAGTAAGTAGAGACTGTCGAGAAATGACAAACTGTTTTATTTTTTTTAAGTCTTTAATTGCCTTCAAACATCACAACAGATCCACACTCTGTTGTTCTATGATCTCTCCCCTCTTTCTGGAAAAGGGAAGAAATTTGTTCTAGCCCCTTTTCTGAGTGTGCGTGAGCCCACGCTACATGCATTGCTGGGTTTGACACCTAATAGGTAATTAATAGTGTAATAGCAACATCATGTACCCTCTGCGACTAATTCTAAAGCAAGCCCTTTTAGAAAACCTATTAGACATCCCAAGGTGCAACATCAGAAATCGCGTGTGGAACTGACTGCAGAAACTGCAGAAACGGCACAATTCGCGGAGCGTTTGCTGTCGGCATCCAACATCGGATGACTGAGAAGCCTACACGATGAAGAGACGGGAGGTGGAAGAAAGTGTGAACGGCGACACAGACTTAATAAATCATTTGACCAGAACTGCCTGCCCCAAATTGCAGGAAACATAACAAACAAAGCCTACCCTCAGTTAGTCTTTTTTTAGTGCGTTTTGCAACGTGAAGTACAAATGGCCCCGATTCACGATGGTTTGACTTGGGACTTTCCCACGGTGAGTCCGCCAGCTCCTTGAAATCCATTCAGGTGACAATATCGTAGTTGAAAACGCACCTCAGACTTAAGACACTTTGAGTTTACGGAGGGTCTACCAGGATGCAGCTCCATCGTGCGTCGAGGACCGTCTGTGCCCTGTTACAGCTACTTGTATAAATCTTAGCTGTCTCCCCAAAAGGACCCAACTGCTTCAGATTTAGGGGTAGTTCTTTATGGAATATTTAACGGGGAACTAAGCGGCTAAGGCGAGATGCCGCCAGCAGGTGGCGCCCGAGGGCAGCGGGCAGAGCCGGGCTCTGCGGGGCCGCGAATCGGGACCGCGTCCGGGCGGCCGAAGGTGCGGACGCGCTGTCGCAACCGCGTCTCCGCCATCTGCTCCGCTGTCGGCGAGGAGGTCCTGCGTCCCCTCGGTCAGAGCGCTCCAGCGCGACGCTGGGCCTTGACCCGAGGGCCGGCCCGGGACACGCGAGGAGCGCAGCTGGCGCGCCCCAAAGTCCCTGAGGCGTCCGAGTCTGCGCGGCTTCAGGGCAGGCGGGAGGGTGCGGCCGCCCCACGCGTGACCCCTGCCGGCCGGGCTGCGGACCGGGGACCCCACGACCCGGCTGTGGCTGGAGAGCGTCCCGCACCGGTGCCCTGGGGCCGCTGCCCCACCTGCCCCTCCCCCGCGGCCCGCGCCGGCCGGGGACGCTCGCGGCACCAAGTCCTGGCTCTGATTTCAGTCCCGGCCCGAGGAACGAGGCGGCTCCCGGGCCCACAACAGGAAGGAGGGCAGGCCCGGCGTGCGGGCAGGGGGAGGGCCATTCCCGGCAGCGCCTCCTTCCGCGCGGGCCGGCCGGGCGGGCGGCGGGGGCGGCCGCGCGGGGGTCGGGGCGGCTCCCGGGCGCCCCTGCGGAGCCGGAGCCGGGGCGGGGCGTGCGCGTCAGCCGGGCTAGAAAAGGCGGCGGGCCGGCCCGGCGGGGTGACAGCCGCACTGGGACGCGGAGCCGGCCCGACGTCGCCATGAGCGCCGCGCTCTTCAGCCTGGACGGCCCGGCGCGCGGCGCGCCCTGGCCCGCGGAGCCCGCGCCCTTCTACGAGCCGGGCCGGGCGGGCAAGCAGGGCCGCGGGGCCGAGCCGGGCGCCCCGGGCGAGCCGGGCGCCCCCGCCCCCGCCATGTACGACGACGAGAGCGCCATCGACTTCAGCGCCTACATCGACTCCATGGCCGCCGTGCCCACGCTGGAGCTGTGCCACGACGAGCTCTTCGCCGACCTCTTCAACAGCAACCACAAGGCGGGCGGCGCGGGCGGCGCGGGCGCCCTGGAGCTGCTGCCCGGAGGCCCCGCGCGCCCCCAGGGCCCCAGCCCCGCCGCCCCGCGCCCGCTCAAGCGCGAGCCCGACTGGGGCGACGGCGACGCGCCCGGGTCGCTGCTGCCCGCGCAGGTAGCCGCGTGCGCGCAGACCGTGGTGAGCCTGGCGGCCGCCGGACAGCCCACGCCGCCCACGTCGCCCGAGCCGCCGCGCGGCAGCCCCGGGCCGACCCCCGCGCCCGGCCCCGCCCGGGAGAAGGGCGCGGGCAAGAGGGGCCCGGACCGCGGCAGCCCCGAGTACCGGCAGCGGCGCGAGCGCAACAACATCGCCGTGCGCAAGAGCCGCGACAAGGCCAAGCGGCGCAACCAGGAGATGCAGCAGAAGCTGGTGGAGCTGTCGGCCGAGAACGAGAAGCTGCACCAGCGCGTGGAGCAGCTCACGCGGGACCTGGCCGGCCTCCGGCAGTTCTTCAAGCAGCTGCCCGGCGCGCCCTTCCTGCCGGCCGCCGGGGCCGCCGACTGCCGGTGACGCTCGCGGGCCGGAGAGACTCACAACGACCCATACCTCAGCCCCGTGGGCCGCGACGAGCGCCCTGCCGGGCCGCAGAGCCGCCGGCTGCAGTTTCTCTGGGACACACGAGCGAAAGGAAGCTACAGCCTGGACTTACCACCACTGAACTGCAAGAGAAGCTATACGTGGTTATTTTCCCTTAAATTATTTTTGTAACGGTGGCTTTTTCTACATCTTACTCCTATTCATGCAGCTAAGGTACATTTGTAAAAAAAAAAAAAAAGACTTCAGAAAACCCTTTGTACTGTAGATAAGAGGGAAAGACTGAGCATGCTCACTTTTTTATATTAATTTTTACAGTATTTGTAAGAATAAAGCAGCATTTAAAATCGCCCCTGCTTCCTGCATTCGCGGTGACTCCCGCACTAGGGAAGGGTGCGGATTCATTCCAGGCGTGCAGCGAGCGCCTGGGGGACAGGAGACCAGGTGTCCCCGCCATGCCTGCGTCCACCTCCGTGTGTTGCATTTAGCTCGCCCTGCTCGGTGCAGCCTAAGCTAGCTGAGCTAGTAGCTCTCCAGTGGAAGGTGTTCTCAAAAAAGTGCCCAGACTTGGGGAGGGGCTGGCTGATTTGGGGACCCTGCTGAGGACAGCCAAGGAGCTCCCTAACTATGGCTGCCTGAAGGGTGAGGGGGTATAGGAGGTTTCAAGTCATCCAAAAGCTTGTCTCAGTCATCTTGGGCTTTTGTGGGACTTTACTTTCACTTTCCTCAGTATTATGGACAATGTCAAGATTTTCAAAGTACGCAAAAAAGGTACAAAATAGCCATGTAGGAGATGAAAAGGGTAGTCACAAAACTACTTAAAACTGGCTGTCTTGCCAATACTTGTAATGTTCCAAGGTTTAATCCAAACAAGCTAGCTGCCTCTCCCCGCGAGAAAACTGGGTATTAGGCACCTTGTCTTGGTCTTGGGCTGCTACGTGTATATTATGTAATTAATTAACCCTGGCCTGTAATGATTATATTGCTATACGGAAGCGAACACAAAAATCTTTAGTGTCCAAAGATAATTAATTTGTGGTTTAAATCTCTGCGAACAAAGCAAATTATAACTGACCAAAGTTTGTAATCTTTGCTCTCTGCATACACTACCCAGCCCGATTACACAGGGCTGTGGTGGGTGAGCTATCTGCATCTCCATTCAGTACAGCTATAAGCACCCTGGTTAAGTTGTCTGCACTTTATGGGTAACAGTTTGACCTCTAACGTAGTTCCCCAGAACATTTTTCCCTAAAATGTTGAACTGTAAAATGCTTACGTATGACATTTATTGTAGCATCACAGTATGGGACAAATATTTGAGCTTTGCCGGGAATTCTTTGGGGGAATGTTAAAACAATTACTACAAGAAAAACATAATGAATCATGGCAAAATTTTAAATACTTTAAAATTACAACTGAACAAATTTTTTTCTGATAAAATATTATTGCCTAATATAAAATTAAGGCCTCAAGTTTAAGATTCAACATGTTCCTGAATTTGCAAGAAGGTAATAAAAAAAACTGTAGAGAAAGAATTTTGATTTTTAGTTTACAAAACCATTTTATTAACATTTGTCCCAGGAAAATCTCAGTAAGTTTCATTCCAAGATCATAAACTACATTCGCTCTGTGCATAGTTAACAAATAACTACCCCAGATCACCGCCACCACCCTGTAGCCACATGCAAAGTTCACAGATCGCAGGGCTGCCGCCGGCGTGCTGCAGAGGTTCCTCCCGTGCTGGGCAGCTCGATCTCCTCCAATCCAACGCAGCTCGTCGGGTGGGTGGTTACGGACTGGACAAAACAATTTAACAACCCCACCTCCTTTCCGAGGACACTCTTCACTTCATAACTCTGCAGTGATAAAGGCACACTGGTTAAAGCAAACAGAGTTAGCCCTGGACGTTCTGTTCCCACAAACACAGAACAGCAAAGCGCCAGGGCAGAGGCCCTGTCCCCAGCGGTGACCTTCCGCTCCCGGGCCGGCTGAGAACAGTGGCAGGGAGGGAGAAATGAAGAGCTGCTATAAAAGCCCCATTTATTACGGCAATGAAGAAATGACTTTACTCTGATAGCTGAATTCTGTTTTTACACAAGGAACATTTACAGTATCTCTTATTAATGATGTTGCTGGATGTCATGATAAGCAATCCCCCTGGGCTTAGGAAAGGGCCTGGGGGCGACACGCAAGCCTCTGCTGGGAAGGCCGGGCTGGGGGCGCGGGGTGCCTGCAGCTGTCTCCACTTCCTTTGGGACACTTCCCCAATCTAGCAACACTTCCGGTCAAAGGATTTCCTGGTACTTTGCCCCAAACTTCCCTCCTCGAGAGGATCCCATTTCTTTTAAGTGACGCTGGGCTAAACAGCTCTTTCTGTGCTGGAGTCAGGAGACTGAGCTTTTCTTCACATTCTATCTGGTTAATCCTCGGCGAGTTTTATCTCTAGATGAGAACACAGGCACAGGACAGCCTGGGTCCCCATCCCTGACGGGGTGGGAGGCTGTGGGGTGCCCCTATAGATCAAGCTGCAGAGCATTTGCTGTTGGGGCTGGGGCTGAAAATAAGGAGAAGCTCAAAAGCACTGAGATAATCACCTCTTCGGCCTTCTGGGGCACTGAGCCCTAGAAGGCAAGGCCACTTGCAGAGTAATTTCAGAGGCACCCCGGCCCCCTCCTTGGTGCGAGGCCTGCACAAATCTCTGCAGCAGTGGCGTTCAGCATGTACCCATCATTAAATGTCACGGCCAAGGAGACTGAGGCTGGAGAGGCCAGATGATGTGGCCAAAGCAGGCACAGTCCATGGCTCCTCAGTGCCCTTCCCACCAAAGGTGGGACCTCATGAGTCTGGGCTGGCCTCAGCGACTAGCTTCTCGGGAACAGAATGCAGTGGAAGGGACACCAAGTGACATTCCAAGTTTGGCTGCGAAAGGTGCTCAGCTTCCAGCTGGCCCTCAGACGCCCAGACACATGTTGAGAGGGAGTCCAGCCAGAGCCCTGCCAGGACTGACAGAGCCTTCTGTGACTCCCGCCCGGTGTGGGGGACCAGCTGATGCCCAGTGGAGCAGAGATGAGCTGTTCTGGGGGAGCCCTGTCCGGACGGCCAGGCTGTGTGCAGAATAAATGTTGCAGCCACCAAGTCTGGAGATGGTTTGTTTTCTAGCAACGAACATCAGGGTCAATCTGGGATGCGAACACCACTCTGATGCCGACCCACTGGGAAACTTTCGTTTCCCATTTGCAAGGCGGGCCTAGTGTGAAATACCTCGCCTGTTCAATGTGCCTCGTGAAGAGTTTTGGCTTCCTTAGTGAAAAGTGAGAGTAAGGTCAACAGGGCAGTGTCGTGGAGCTGGGGCAGGGTTGGGGGGGAGTGGCTGGCCGAGACAGGCAGATGCGCTGAAGCCTTCCCACGGGCTGCCACGTGGCACAGACGGCGGGTTCCCGCCGCTCACCTGTCCACTCACTGGGGGGTTGTACAAGCCCAGCGGCCGATGCCAAAGAGGTGGCGGCGAACAAGGCCGAGCCGCAGGGCTGCTGGCCTGGAGGGAGCAGCGGCCGGCACAGAGCCAGGGTCACCGGCCGTGCCGGAAGGTGGAGGTGGGAGGGCAGGACGCTCATCTGGTGTCTCCCCCAGCGTCAGTCAGCCTTGCGTGTCTGCGCCAGGGCGAAGCACAGGGCCCGGGCCCTCCTGTGCTCTTCTGGAGTAAAAGTACGGAATTCTGACTTGAAAAAAAGTCAGCAAAAAGTCATTCCTTTTCAGAATGTTAGGTTTGGCTGTATCATCTATAAATGGAGTTTAAATTATAAATCTTTTATATGTGGGGAAAATTAACAAGAGGAGGTTAAGATAATCATACCGGCAAACTCACATGCACTATTCATTTGAATGTATATCTGCATATGTATAAAATAAATGTGTCTCTATTTTTGAAGTCACAATATACATATGTGTTCTTTTAACTTTTCCTTTTCTGAAAGCTAAGGAAACAAACTTCAAATTCCATATCTCTAGAATGTTACTGTTGAGAAATGACACGTACAACAGCCAATCCTGTTGCCTTCACATCTGCAGCCTGATCACCCTGAAGTGAGGCATAAAACTTAACGCCCGTGTGTCCTAACCAGAAACAGTATGTTTGCTCCAGGGAATGGAGCGACCGCTTTTGTGGAATCCTGATTTGATTCTCTGGATTTTGCTGAATGTACATTTTCAGCCAGAAAACGGACAGAATCCAGACTGGTGACCCTCAGCTAAAGTCTACACCCAGGCCCTTTGGATGCCCCTTTTCTACTGGCTTCTCTCCAGGTCAGACGTAAGGCACCAACTATCCACTGTGAATGAAGCCAGGGTCTGGGTGAGGAGCTTCCTGAAATGTGCACCTCTAGGCTCAGAACTTGCCCTCAGTCCACTGGTGTAGGCCCTAAAGCCAGAGCACCCACAATGGTGACGCCCGGGGCTGCTGCCACCCTGCGTGCCTCACCCAAGGCACACACACGCACACACACATACAGCACACCCAAGCAGACACATGCACGCGAGCGTGTGCACATGTGCACTCATGCACGCAGGCTGTGAAGCTCTTTACAAGCAGGGTTTTACCTGCGGGAACGTTCTAGTGGACAAGTTAAATGAGTGGGAGGAGCAAGCTGCCCGAGCCAGAAGGAAACCAAGTGAAGGAGGGAGGACTTCTGCCAAGGATTTCTGGTCTCTGGGGCCCTAAAGAGTGGTGGGGATTGTCAGGGGGCATCAAGCGCCATCGACTGTCCACCACTGGGGCCTTCTTGAAGCCACCCTCCTGCGCAGCCGCAGCTCCGCCAGGGGCGGGGGAGATCTGCCTGCCATGCCCACGTGTTATTAGTTTTGTTTAGGTCATGGTTTTGGTTCATTCTGTTCTGCGTTCTCGAACAGGAGCGTTTCCTGTCCTCTGCTTCCCCCAGTGTTCTCCACCAAGACGCAGTCCCTGATAGCCCGGATCCGCAGTCCTGAGCACCTGCTCAGCACTCCACCTTGGAAACCTCCACACGGTCAGCCCCGGCAGCACCCCCTTCCCAGCGCTGCCTCCTCCTTCCTTCCTCCCGCCCCCGGGACCTTGAGGAGGAAGCAAGGAATCAGTCAGCAGGCACCCCTGCCTCGCCGCCTGTTGCAGTACACGCTTAAACCCCCGTGAGAACAGAAACACACACACGAGGGGCCCTGCCATGCATCTGGGCTGGCTCCCAGCTCTGTTAGGTGGTCGCATCCGTGGGGATAATGACGACTTCCCCTGTGTGGGATTTGTTGCTGGGAGCCCTCGTCATCTCCCTGGCAGTGCAACATGCATTCTGCCTTGCTGGGATTTGGGGGGACTGCAGGAAGAAACACGAGAAAAGCAAGGAGCACAGTTCTTGGCCCGTGTAATCACCCGGCTTATGCACAATTAGGGAACGCTCGCTGATGAGCCTCCTGCAGCCTGGGCCAGGCTGAGCTGGAGCTCGGGGTCACCAGGGACCTTTACAGTCAGTGGGCTTTATCCCAGGAGAGAGCAGAAACCCGCTGGAGCTCCACAGGCGGTTCTACTGCCAGGTCAGGGCTCGGAACCTCGGCTCAGACTGGTGATCCTGGAGACCCTGCTCATGGGTTTATGCACATTCCAGTCTAATCCCAGCTCTGCCAGCCACGGTTTGGACAAAAGAGGGTCAACTGCAGTGCCCCTGAGTTGCGGGGGGAGACAAGGGCAGGCAGGGGTGGGTGGAGGAGCCTCCGCACGATGGATCAAGTTTTCATAAATTCTGGCTGGAATCTGGCCACGGGGGCCCACTGGAAACAGACCCCTTAAATTCAGTGGACAAAAGGTTCCAGGGACAGTCGTCCTCCCCTATCACCAGAGCCCCAAGAGGCTGGCCCAAGTGGGCACCCTGGATGTGGACCCCATCCTGGCCACAGACGCCGCTACAGAACACGGCCCAAGCACCCGCCCGTCGTGCTTTTAAATGCTTTGCCAAGACAGAGGTGCATCTTGAGGACATCTCATTTATGAGGCCAAATTTCACAAAGCAGAAACTGTCTTTGGCCTATAACTTATATATTAGGTGGTGCTTTCCTTGGAGGAGCACAGCACACTTTTCTGAGCCTCCCCACAGCAACTCTCAGGGCAGGCAAACCAGTTCTGAGAAGAAACAGTGACATTACCAGTTAATCAGAGTCTGGAATATCCAGCAATTAAAACCAGTGTCTCAGGCAATTCTCGTCTCTTAACGTGATACCATGGCAGAAGGACTCGAATCTCAGGACCATGCTACTGTGATCAAAGCCAGGGGGACAGATTCCTGCATCTCCCTCAAGGCTGAGCTGAAGTGACATTTCCAAAGAGGGGCTTCCCCTGGGGGGCGACCTGCTCACGCAGGCTGAAGAGCGTGGGGCTCGCTGGGCCGGGCCTCGCTGCACTCACCCCGTCCTCGCAGGCGGCAAACCTCAGCAGTGAAGCAATACTGCGCTGCAGCAGCTGCAAGAGCAGTGAAACGGGCTGCGTTAACATCCCATCGCAGCAAGCGCTCGCGTGAACTTACTCGCGTCCCCACAATGTCCACACTCAATCTAAACCACCTGTCGTCAGAGCTTCAGTCTCAAAGCCGACTTTTGGGTCACAACATGGAGAGACTTCGTTTGTGAAGGGTGAGTCCTCCCCTTCCCCAGGGAGGCTCCTCTGGAAAGAGCTCTGGATGCACCCGCTGCCCGCCTGGGAACCATCGCGCTGCAGCTCCCCCCGCCCGGGCTGCGCTCCGGGCACCAGCTCCTACCTTGACCTTCACTCTGCACTGGGGTCTCGAGGGGCAGTCCAGGAAGACCTGCAGGTGTCTCTTGAGAACAGGAGACGTGACCACCCGGGAACAGCTCCCACAGGAAAAGGCGCCTCTGGTGTGTGAAACACAAGGGAGGACAAGACCAGAGAAGGCACAGTCAGGAGTTCCAGCAGTGCACGTCTTTCCAGCCTTGAATGTTTGCTGACACAGAAAAGGCCGGTCACTCTCAGAACGCGGTTTGGCTGTTCTGAGGGATGGCAGCTTCGGCTAACAGCGCTGGAGGCTGCTGAGGGGACACTGGGGCAGAAAAACACGTGGGGCGGAGGGGGAGGCCAAGGGCCCAAGGCCCTCTGGTGGCTGAGGGGGCTAGGCCACCCTCCCCCGGGGGGAGCCCGCCCTTAACCACCACTGCAGCTCTTGTACGCTACCACGCAAGCCTGGACCCCCGCTCCGGGTCTCTTCAATGTGATTCCGCGGTGACTTGTGTGTTCCTAAGGCCACCAACCTAGGCGGTGTCAAGGACACGTTTGCTCTTTGCTCCTTAAGAAGCAGAAAAGTAACGGGGTTGCCCGTTTTGGCCCCATGACACAGTGCACGCTGGAGGCCAGAGAGCTGACTCCACAGGGCAGAGTGCGCGGCACGGGCCCAGACGCAGGCCCGGGTGGGCAGCACGTCGGCGGGGAAGGGGCGTCTGTCCAGGTGGCTGCGCACGGGGCTGGGCACAGTCTGTGCCTCACACAGGCCGAGCTGGACGGTCACCAGTGTGCCTCACTCTTTTTATTTCAACATACTACCGGGGTACAGACGTTCTCGTTACACGGATCGCTCTCGCAGTGCCTGAGCCGCGGCTGTGGGTGTGCCCAGTGTTCACTGTGCCCGTCAGGTAGGTTTCTGCGCCTCCCCTCCCCCCTTATTCTTGTTCTTCTGTTTTTCTCTATTCTCCTGATTGATAATAAAGGAGCTGAGGACAAAACCCAGCTTTCTCTTTTAAGATAGGCGCAGCAGCAAAAAGCAGCGGAAATCCCTGCTGGGAAACACAGTGGGCACCGGGCTCGCTCTTTCCCGCGGCTCCGCAGATGCCGAGGTGGCCAGGAGCACTTGGGCAGCTGCCCCCGCGAGGCCCACGGCGGCGGCCGGACCCTGGGGCTGGGCTGCTGCCGCGCTCTGCGGGCCCCGCCCCCGCCCCTCACCTGTCTTCTGGCCTCTGTTCCAATCTCCCGTTGCCACACTGGTCACACGCAGGCCACGAGAAAGCCGTGCTCTCATCCACACCGACGACGGTGCCTGGGGGGGACAGGACAGTCGGCTTCTCAGGGGTGCTGCTGCCCTTCCCGGTGCCTCGCTGCCCCTCGGCACACACAGGACGACATGAGAGGCCCCATGTGATTTTTTTTCCTCACCTGTGACTGTGTATGAATGTTCCTAAGCCTTTTGTAATTTCCATTTGTTGTACAAACAAAATTATAACAATAAGCAGTTTTAAAACTTGCCCAAATACCACTACCTAACCAAGTATTTTTGTTTTTGCTTGATCTGTTGTGATCTTTTTCCAGATGCACACATATTTGAACCCATAGTGCCCTATCTCCTTCTGCTTTTCAGGCTGCTGTGAGTTTTGTGTGAGGACCGTCATCCACCTCACTGTCATTCCACTGAAGTGTCGTGTCACGACCCTGCAACCATTCCCCATTCTGGACATTTAGGTCTCCAGGTTACTTCAGGGTGTGGCTGTGAATATCTCTCTATATAAGGCCTTTTCTGTACTAAGGCCCTTCCTTAGGTAAGTAGAATTCCTGTGTCAAAGAGTATGATATTGAAGACATAGAAAAATCCATTTAGAAAGTGTTTCCCAAAAGGACTTTCTGATTCACATGGCCACGATTCAGAGCACTGGTTCTACTACACTGTTACTAACATCATCTTAAGAATTTGTCTCGGCCGGGCGCGGTGGCTCACGCCTGTAATCCCAGCACTCTGGGAGGCTGAGGTGGGTGGATTGCTCAAGGTCAGGAGTTCAAGACCAGCCTGAGCAAGAGCGAGACCCCGTCTCTACTAAAAAATAGAAAGAAATGATCTGGACAACTAAAAATATATATAGAAAAAATTAGCCAGGCATGGTGGCGCATGCCTGTAGTCCCAGCTACTTGGGAGGCTGAGGCAGGAGGATCGCTTGAGTCCAGGAGTTTGAGGTTGCTATGAGCAAGGCTGATGCCATGGCACTCTAGCTAGGGCAACATAGTGAGACTCTGTCTCAAAAAAAAAAAAAAATAGAATTTGTCTGCTGCGTAACAGCATTGTTTATTTTAGTCTCCACTTCTTTCATAAGGAAAGATAAATTTTATTTATTTTATTATTTATTTTTTAGAGATGCGGTCTTGCTTTGGAGCCCAGGCAGAAGTGTAGTGGTCTGGTCGTGGCTCAGTGCAAACTCCAAATCCTGGGCTCAAGTGATCTTCTTGCCTCAGCCTCCCAAGTAGCCAGCACTACAAGCACGTGCCGCCATGTCCAGCTATTTTTTTTTTTTTTTGATAGAGACAGGGTCTTGCTATGTTGCCCAGGCTGGTCTCAAACCCCTGGGTTCAAGCAATCCTCCTGCCTCAGCCTCCCAAAGTGCTGGGATTACGGGTATGAGTCACTGTGCTCAGCCAAGAAAGGTAAATATTCTTATTGGCATGCTAATATCTCCTATTATGTGACTTCTCTGGTGTCCTTATTGCTATTGTGATTAAGGATACAGAGATTTCTTTTTTACTACAAAATCTGTGAGTTATTTATTCAAGCAACAAATATGCATATGATGCTATTTAGTGTGGGATTTATGTGTGGTACTAACACATAGAAACACAAAGATGAATGCTGTGATCTTCACTCTCTGTGATTCCACAGTCTGGTTGGGGAAGCAGATAAATAAACAACGAGTAAAAATACCATGAAAAAATTGCTAAATGAGAAATAGAAAAGTCTATGGCCATGCCACCCTGAACGCGCCCAATCTCGTCTGATCTTGGAAGCTAAGCAGGGTTGGGCCTGGTCAGTACTTGGATGGGAAGAATGGAAAAGACCCCTAAGAAGAGCAGCAGAGATGCTCTCTGGGCTGGCTTGAGGGTCAGGGAAGGCTCCTAAGGAAGGCAGTGAGGTGGGTCCACAGGCGACAGGGCCAGGCCAAAAGTGTGCCTTGGCCGAGCCTGCACATCGTGGAGGGGCTGAGGCCAGCGAGCATGGAGGAAGGGCAGGCAACACACTGCGAAGCTGGCAGAGCCTCCAGGATTCAGGGTCTTGCCAGGGATTGAGATGGAATGGTTTTCTTGGATGTGAACCATTACAGATATCACCTAGATACACTGGCAAGTCGCAGACCATCCTTGTTGAAAAGTGGTAAAGTTAGATGTTTGAAGAAAAAGGTGTGGAATATTTAGAAAAATAGAAGAGTCTTCCTTCTCACTCTTGGAGCAAAAAATTTCATTCCCCACTAGAGCAAGCATTAGGAGAAAATTTATCTTTAGAGGATAAAACAGAAGTATGAGAACTGGTAGGCTTAGTTATTAAGACACACTCATGCAATGCATACTTGAACAACTTTTTAAAAATGAAAATAATAGATCTTGATTTTGAAAAGGCTGCCCCAGCTAATGACACTGTCCTTGCAAATCTAATCAACACTGGGTCAAAAGGATGAAAAGTCAAGTCAATAAAGGCTCATAATGCAGCTGGGAAGGAGTGTGACTGGTCCACAACAGGCAGGCGCGTGAGGAGGTGCGAGGGGAAGAACCGTGTGGCTGAGTCCCCACAGCCCAGAGCGCGCCCTGCGCAGTGGCCAAGCACCCCCGGGCTGTGGGCCCAGCATGGGGCTGGGCTCGCTGGTTTACCAGAGCTTGGTAAATGACTGTTAAATGAATTAATAAGAAGTAGACTGCTACCAGCCAAAGTTACTTTTTATCCTACGATATCTGTGGTTGTTAATAGCATTTACATTTATATGGGATTAAGCAATTTCCTTCCAATTAGAGAACAAGGCAAGAGTTGAGGAAATGCATTTCATCTAAGGTCTACAAACCATCGGAAATCTTTTCTGGCAACCCTAAATAAATTCCAAGGGATGTCTAGGAAGTCTACAATTAAACTGTTAGTGTCTTGAATATTCACTTACATGAGCATCAGAAAGAAAAAACAATTTCGTCAGGGTTGAAGGTTGTGACACTATACTTGTCAACTCGCCTGCAGTTTGCTATGAAAGGCCTTGACTTTGCGTGTCCTATGTAGAGAAACCCCTGGTAATTAGGTTTAGGGAAACACCACATAGCTATTACAACTTCCTTTTCAGAAGGGTCCGGAGGGAAGCGCCTCGGCTGCAGGGCACACTGGGCCGGCCTGGCCCTCAACGCGGCCTGGGGACCAGCTTCCTCAGTAGCCTGAGCTCTCTGCTACATCCCCCTCTCCCCTACTTCCTGAATGAAAGAAGTTGGGGCTCCCAATTCTTTTCTTCTGTTTAGAGGCTGAAACCTGGTTTGAAGACAGGGCTTTGCCACCCCCTTCCACAGAGACATCGGCACCCATGCGTGCTCGCTGCATCCAGTACCACGACGTGTGCGAGGGAGACAAAATCAATGCTGCAGAACGATTTCGTCACAGACAATAAAGCAGAAAGAAGTCCCCACAGACTCCAGAGCGGCATTCAGGGAGTGCAGAGATGAGAAGGCCAGGTGCCACGAGCAAAGAGTGTGTGCCATCCCTGAGGCGTGGATGGACAGAGGGTTGCTGCCAGCTCCCAGTGAATGACGGCTTCATGCCTGGAATTCATTCAGGGCCCTTTCAATCCCTGCTCAGAGAAAATGCTCAACATTCAGCTGAGTCCCAGATGCTCAGCCGATTTAGCTGCCACTAAGAGCTGCGGAGGCACCCGCACAGACCTCCTGCAGATGTGAAGGAGCTCCCTTGGAGCCATGTGGGGGACGAGTCATCGCTGAGGCCTGGGCCAGGAGGCGCAGAGCGGGGCAAGGTTTTGAGGCTGAGAAGGGGTTACCTGCTGTTGTCACAGAGCAGTGAGCACCCCGGCCTCGCATGGGTTTGATGGGGTTGGAGCTGGGCAGGCCGCAACCGCTTGGTATGCGGGGCGAGGACACTGGTGGGAGCGGGTCACTGCCTAGCTGCCGCTTTGCTATGGGAGTTCCTGTGTGGGAGGCTCAGCTAATCTTTGCTATTTTGAAGCTGGGGCTTTGTTTTCTCTTAAAGCCCAGTTGACTGGTTCCTACCAGAGGACTTGGCAGCACTCGGTCCTGCCTCTACGACAACAGTCTGTTAGTAAATCCCTCAGACCTGCACATAGGCCTGCAGGGCAGCTTCAGAGCAGGCATGGAAGCAGAGGAGACCCACAGAGAATGCTGTATGAAAATGGTGAGATGTAAGGAAAACATGTCAGAAATCTGGATCTATATAAAGAAAGAAGATCATTAGAGAAGGAATAAATGAAGGTAAAACAAAATCTTTTACATTTCTTGTGCTAAGTTGATCTCAGAGATAACAGTTTGTTTAAATGATAAACAATAATGTATTCAGTGATTACATCCGTATGGGCAAGTGAAATAAATGAATGACAGCAGCGTTATAAGGGATGAGAGGGAGGAATTGGGAACGCTCTATTATAAGGTACCTGTACCACCTGTGAAGTGGGACGGTGTTATTTGAAAGCGGACTCAATTGGTTTTAATTGTATATTGCAAACTGTAGGGCAACCTCTAGAAAAATTTAAAAAATAAGTATGATTGATATGCTGAAAGAAACAAGCAAATGGAATCATAACAAATGTTCAATTAAAATGAGAAAAGGCAGAAAAGGAGTGTAACACAAAAAAAGAAACAATGGGGCAACCAGTAAAAAACAGTTATAAATATGGTCAATATTAATTCAATCATGTTAATAATCACTTTAAATGTGAATGATCTCAATACACAAAGAGACTATCAGAGTGGACAAAAAACAAGAACCAACTGTATGTTGTCTACAAGAAACTTTCATTAAATATAAAGGTACAGGTAGATTAAAAGTGAAGGGATGGAGAAAGATATACCATGCTAACACTAATAAGAGAAAGCTGGTGTAGCTGTTTTAATTTCAGACTGAGTAGATTTCAGAGCACAGAAAATCACTGTAGATAGGAAATGGCATTAAATAATAATAAAGGAGTCAATTCACTAAGAAGACATAAGAATTTTTAATACGTATGTGCCTAACAACAGAGCATCAAAATACATCAGGCAAACTGATAGAACTGTGAGGAGAGATAAACA